AATATACAGTATTGTTTATATTATTACTATTATTATTATTATATTAAAGGTATTTAAACATTGTTTTCACTGCAGTTTCATGGCCTTGGCAGTGGATGTTCTCCTTTCATTGTTTCTGATGAGTGGAATAAATGAGAGAGTGTTTACAGATGATATGAGCCAGAAATCCCGGAAGTCCCTCCAGGCAGTAAATGTCTTTCTGGATAAATGCTATTTTTACACAGCGGTCCTGTAAGTGACTAACAAACGCGCACGCAGCCTGTGCTAGCTGAGGACACCCACTTGTACCTTACAGTTGAAAGGGCTCATTCACCCATGTGTGTTGCGGTAACGCATGTTATGAATGGCACCCCAAAGCACCTCCATACAGCACCTAAGTTGTAATGCACCCCAATGCACCAAGATGTGTCGCTGGGTGCAAAGCTGCATTGGCCATGATTATGGGCTCCCACTCTTCATGCTGGAGTTTTTGGAGGAGATGAAACACACAAAGGTGGTGTTGGGGAGCACCCAAAACTCCAAGGTGGAAAGGAACAGAGTCAGGAAATAGGAGAGGGAGATCTCCTCAATATATTAGAAACTAGAGGCCGAGTCAGCCCACCAGATTCCACCTATCAATAAACCACTTTTGGGTGGGCTGAATCAAGCTGTAGGTTGGGTTGAGGTTCATGTAGGTTGGGTTCCTGTAGCTGTGCTGTGGAGTCCACAGAGAAATGTGTGTGCTGAGCAGAGTGACACTTCCCTATGGCTTCCCTGCACTGCGTCATGTAACCTGGACCATCATATGACCCAGCTAGGAGAAGAGTCTCTCCACTTAGTCCTCTCTACACACAATTCCTTGTGGAGCTTGCAGCCTCAGCACCACATCTTACATGATTCCCTAGGTGGCTCTCCTGTACAATGGATCAATGCAGTCTCTCTCCCTCCTCTTCTTTCTTTTCTCCTCTCTCTCTCTGCCTCTTCTCTCCTCTATCGCTTTCTTTCTTATCTCCTCTCTGCCTCCTCTCTGTCTCTTTTCTTTCTCTCTCCTCTCTTTATTCTCTTCTCTCTTTCTCCTCCCTCTTTCTGTTGTTTGTCTTTCTCTCTCTCTCTCTGTGTTTCTTTCCTCCTCCTCTCTCTCTCTCTCTTCTTCCCTCCTCTCTCTCTCTCCCTCTATCTTCTCTACTTTCTTTTCTCCTCTATCTCTTTCTTTCTTATCTCCTCTCTGCCTCCTCTCTGTCTCTTTTCTTTCTCTCTCTCTCCTCTCTTTATTCTCTTCTATCTTTCTCCTCCCTCTTTCTGTCATTTCTCTTTCTCTCTCTCTGTGTTTCTTCCCTCCTCTCTCTCTCCTCCCTTCCTTCCTTCCTCTCTCTTGCCCTCTCCTCTCCCTCCCTTTCCTCCTCTCTCCTCTCCTTCCAACTTTCTCTCCCTCTTTTCCTCTCTCTCTCCTTTTCCTTTCTTTCATCCTCCTCTCTCTCTCTTCTCCCGCTCTTTCCTCCTCTCCCTCTTCTCTCTCGTTATGTCTCTCTCCTCTCTCATCTCCCTCTCTCCTTTCCCTCTCCTCTCTCACTCGTCTCTCTCTTCTCTCCTCTATGTTACTTCCCTCTCCTCTCCTCTCCCTTTCTCTCCGCACTTTCTCAGTAACCCTGTAATCCTAGACTGAATTGCTGTGTTGCTATTATTATGTATTCAACCATCTGAATTAATTATAAATATATACAATTCATTAAAATATTTTTTTTTTTAATCATCACTTGTGACAGAGATTAATGTAGCTGTATAATCGTGAATACATCGTTATATGTTTGTTTTAAATACAAGCAGTGTAAGTACCTGTATCTGACCTGGTATCAGCCTCTTACAATGCCTGTATAGCGGGGCTGGAGTATGAGAGGAAAAAGCAGCACAAGGAGCCAATCAGCTTATGTGCTGACAAGAAGCATGCTGATAGGAGGAGAAAGAAGGGTGACCGAGAGATGAGCTTATCACTGTGCTACTTCTCCTTTCACTGTCCAGTCACAGGCTGGGGCAGGTCCAGGACTACCTGGGCTAGGAAGATGATGATAGATGGCCAGAAATGATGCTGGCCATCTAGAGGCAGATAAAAGTACTGCAATGGAACATTTTTCGATTGAAGGTAAATATTGCAGCAAAAGCTGGTTTTGTTATTTTAGGTTTTAATGACCTATTCATTTTATCTCATTTTTGGATGGAGTTCTGCTTTAAGTCATGTGCAATCTCAGAGCAACGTGCAGCTGTAACTGTGGTGGAGTTCTGCTTTAAGTCATGTGCAATCTCAGAGCAACATGCAACTGTGGTTTTATTTTCGGTGACATATTTTGATTTAACGGCTCAAGGGATGCAGGTGATGCTTCTTTTGTTATTATAGCACTAAGACTGCTTGGTCGATGTTAATGAAGGCTGCCAGATGGTTTAAGAAAGGCCACATGGTAAGGTTAATGCCAACAATCAGCACTTTAAATGCCGATTGTTGGTTCCCAGCCAGGGACACTAAAAGCTCCTCCTTCTTCCAGCACTTTGACAAATAGACTGCTAAGGAAGTTCTTGTTTACAACTTATTGGGTCTCCTGGGATCTCCCCCCACCCCC